TGTGTTGTTTTCAAATTTTTTTGTTTTTTCCTTTCTCATTTTTGAAATTATATGATTATTATTTCATCTTTGAAAGCGATTTGGTTATATTTAAAGACTGACCCAAAAAGCAGCACTTGGCTCTTCTCACCAAGTCAAATTGTCAAAACCTAAAATGCTAAATCCTTCATTTTCAATCATAAACACAACAATCTCATTCCATATCTAACATTTTTTTTTCTATCCATAAACACTTTCGAAGTTAAACAGGTTACGCAAAAGATTAGAATCACTAAATCTTTATGCTATTTTTTTGGGAGAAATTATTATATGCTGTTATATTTACAAGCTCAACTTCATATGTAATCCATCCTAATTTATTCTTCAGTTTAATTGGGTTTTTTGTTTAATCGAATTGAATATTTCTGTTCTCATTTTTACCCTTACTTAAATATGTTCTTTTTAAACTAAACTAAAATAAAATTTGAGGTTTTTGGGGCATTGATACATTTTACTAAAGTAAAAATATTTAAACGGTGGTTTCTACATAATTTTTCATGGTCCTGAATTACCTGAGAAAAACCAGTTTTTTTTTTCATTATTTCGTCTTTTTCTGCAAATAAGATAGAGATATTATAATTTTATTATTAAATAATTAAATCACATTAAATATTACTAACACCGGAGATTAAGGACCAAAGGTTGCGAAATCCTCAAAAATTACGCAAAGACTTATATTATTTCTATTTTCTCTTCCATATCCCATCCCATGCAGTCAAATGTCATGAATACCCTTCACAAACACACTTTATCAAGCCAAGTCGATCAAGGGCATTCACGACATTTCGTATAATGCAAACGGGGAAACTTAATACAAAGACGTAAAATATATATATAAACGGAAAAAAAAACGACGAGGTCGAGTCGAGAGATTATGGAGTCGCTACGATTGCCCAAGGAAGATGCAACATCGGTTTCTCCTTCTGATTCTTCTCTTGAGCTTCTCTCATCTTCTTCAATGGAGGTTGTTGTTTCTCCTCCGGCGACGACGATGCTGGATTGTACGAACTCACTGACCATATATCGTTTGAGCTTTCGTCGCTATTGAAAGGGTTTGAATCAATCACACAGCTTGGGCTACTCAGCGATGATGATGAGTCGTGACTTTTCCGTTTCCGAGAAGAGTGAGTTTCGATCTGTAAACCGATGCGATCAATTGGTAACTGGAGGATGAGATCGTAGCAAGTTTGCACCTTTTCCTGTTAATGCACGAGAACTGTTTGTGAAAATGCCTGAGTGAAAAAACAGAGTTTTATACTTCGTAGAGAGATTAGAACCTAAGCTAACCTTGGTTATGTTAAGGACATTGAGTAGCTTAGTTTGGTATGAAAGAGGTTCAAAAGTCTCAACTTGCTCTATAATTCGCATCATAGTGGCTGCAGCAACAACTGATGGGAGGTAGCCGACAAATCTTGAATCTGACAAAGGAGGAAAAAAACACAAGAATGTAAGACAAACTCAGATTTTCAGTAAAGATGATAGTTTTGTCGTTTTACTAACCGGAGATTACAGAGAGAAGGAGACGGTGGGATCTGTTGAGGAAATCCCAATGAGCATTGTTCTTAAGACCCAATCTCCTTATGATATGGTCAAGAAACGAAATTGGAGTAACGAGATGCATCTTCCATTGAAGTGTAGACAGAATCAGCAACTCCATTCTCTGTATGGTTTTTGCCTCAAACACATACTTTGTCTCTTCCACCTTCAAGAAAAACAAAATTAAACAGAGAGATGAGAATATGAAGACAAGAAGAAAAGGAGTAAACTTTAAATGGTAAAATGATTTTACTTGGAAGTCGAGAAGAAGAGGGACATGGGTTTCTTCGACTTTAGCAGCTAAAGAGAGACAAGCAACAGTAACAAGCTGAAGCATCCATGGTTTGTCTCTCTGTAAGCTATAGCTACAGATAAACTTGTCCAGATAAGTTATGGCTAAAACAGCTGCTAAAGTTGAGAAACCATAATGAGCGTTGACTCTCAGAATCCATCCCACGGCTTGTTTACGATCCGTGGAGAGATAAACATCATCGAGACAAGTGAGTTCTTGTTCTTCTTCTTTTGAGAAGAGAGTAACCAGATCTTCGTCTTCCCAGAACAAATCTTGTTGCAGAAGAACTAATGGAGAAGAAAAGGAAGGGCTT